GTTAGAACCCGCCTATATACCCTACTGATCATTCTAATAATATTAAAATTCCACTGAGATGTGCAGCAGACTTAAATGCAGATATAATAAAAGATACATATGAAGAAGTAATCAAACACAATCAGTATAGACTTGCAGCGAAGCGTGCTATACTTTCCGCACGAAATGTTGACGTAGACGAAATAAACAAACAAGTTGTAAATTTACTTGATGAATCAACAGAAAGAGTATATACAAGTGTAGACACTGCTGAAACTACTAATGATTATCATGATATTAATGAAGCAATTTTACCAGAGTATTTAAATTCTTTAAATCCAATAAATCTTCCGCCTTATGAACTTCGATTGAGAAAATACATGGTTATAATGCTGATTAGAAATCTGAGAATCAATGAAGGTTTGTGTAATGGTACAAGACTATTAATCTTAGAACTGGGAAACAATTTGTTAAAGTGCGAAATTTGGACTGGTGATAAAAAAGGAGAAATAGTTTTTCTAAATCGTGTAAGTTTATATTGTGAAGATGTTTATCCATTTGTATTTAAAAGAAGACAATTCCCAATTAAAATAGCTTTTGCTATGACAATAAATAAATCACAAGGACAAACATTTGACAAAATTGCGATTGATTTAAGAAAAGATGTTTTCAATCATGGACAACTTTATGTCGCATTTTCACGAGTTAGATCTTGGGAATCATTAAAAATTTATTTGGGACAAGAGAGACAAAATAGATTATTAGTTAAAAATTATGTATATACAGAAATGTTTCGATAAAAAAATTCGGCTTTATTGATTTTACTAATTATAAAAGGAGAATTATAATTCTTTAATCAATTTTAATTATATATGAACATATTAAAAATGATTATAAAGAGTTTGTCTATAATTTTACTTCAATATTTTATAATATTACTTTTTCTATATATTTAAATTTGTTGTATCCTGTGATGAACATGCTTTTTGGGAATGGATTATTCCATATGCCCATATGCATAATTCTGAAGGATGCACAATCTATGATAAAATCATCTTTTTGTAAAATAAAAAATTTATTCTGTATAGTAATAAAAAAGGAGTTAATAAATGATTAAATCTGTTTTCAAACGTGATAAATTATAATTGAAAATTTTATAGAGAAGGTTAATTTAACGTGATAATAGTAATAAATGTGAATCATAATATCGATAATAACATTTAAATATATTGTTCAGGATTAGCGTTAATTCGTGCGGCCGTCGAGATCGCTCGAGAAACTTCTTCGCTTCGAATCTTTGTTGATTCGACTTTCGAGCAATGTCTACGTCGAGAGCGCGTGTTTGTGTGCCGATTACGAAGGGAGTCTTTCGACACAGAAAAAAGGCCCTCGTCGTACTTGGTGCGTTACCCTCTGATTCGTCGCTCGTTGCTGGGCCGATGTTATCGGCGAATCGCGTTATCGCTTCCGAAATCAAAGCCGCGAGCCGTTCGAGTTCGCGCGTCACAAAGTCAGTACGAATCTGGAGAGCGACGGGTCGAGAGCGATCCGCCGACGCGTCCGAGCAAACCTGGCGCACAAATAAATAGTGTTACTTGTCGTTAACGGGGGAACCTGATCGAAGGCTCCCGCCGCCGGCAACAAAGTGGTCCTTCGAGCCGGATCTAAGTGAAAACCGAAACGCGACTCTCCGTTCGTGCTCATCGTGCGGGTGCACAAAGTGCTCCGCCGCGCCGAAAAGTAACGAACATCGCAATTCGCGTCCGTCGGTGCGTCGACTCCCGCGCCGAAGCCTTGCAAACTTCGCTCGCGGAAGGTGACACTCGCGAAATCCGCTGCTCCACGCTTTTCGCGTAGTGAATTTGTTGTGCTACTCGCGGACGCTCCTTACGCTCCGTCGAGCTAGTGACTCTCGCGAACGCTGCTC